ACTACTTTAAATTAAAAATCCTCACGGTTATCCAGAAAAGAATAAAGTAATAGGAAACAATACAAAAACTTTCAGGGAAATTACACAGACATAGCCGGTATCAAAACAGAAGTATCTGAAAAGCACTGAAGATCAGAAAATAAAGTTAAAACATTTCTTGGCAGATCTTCTGGTAGAAATCATTCCTGGGTTGTGGCAGCACCAATGGAAAACAAAATTGTTTTTAACATACATAGATTTTACACCGTGAACTGATCCCATTCAGAAGCCACCATAGCTGATACTAAATAAAGCAGAAGGAGATACAGGACGCATACTAGCAATAACATTGGGACCAGAACACATTGCACATTTTGTTAGCAATACAGTAATCTGCTTCTAAAACTCAGCCCAGAAGCAAATGGAAAGCCAACATCAGTGGAAAATAAGAGCTTGAACTACCTCACTAAAGTCTGCTCCGTCAAGAAACAGCATTATTTTTTCAACTTTCAAACTGTCATGAACAGCAATGTCAAAAAGATTATGTTATACATCTATTCTGCCTAGAGGTGACCAACATATACACAGTAGTCCTTGTGATCAAGGAAAGGTCACAGTCAATGTGCTTGATGAAACTGGTAGAAAATGTCAATTGCAGCCCTGTCTACTAAGCACACAACCTGAGTACATGGTAAAATACTGGCATTCAAAATAACTTTCCATTTATTTGGCCTTGCTTCTCCTACCCATTGATTCTCCACTAATTGTAGATTATCCTTGCCCTGTGTCACAGTTTACCATTATTTATGTGTTTGTTGAAAACATGTTGAATTTTTTTCACACCATTTGTTTTAAATTGAGTGTCAAAAACATTTTTCAGTACTGTATTTATGTACTGTATCTTCTAGCCAGTTTAAATACTGCAAAAACAAGCATACTAAGAAGTATCAATTATACAAAAAATGTGAAGGAAGAAAAAAGAGATCACAAGGGACAAAAAAATAATAGTTGAATGTATTCGCGAAGGCTTTCATGGCCGGGATCTAATGGCTGTTGTGGGTTTTTCGGGCTTCTTGGCCATGTTCTGAAGGTGGTTCTTCCTAACGTTTCGCCAGTCTCTGTGGCTGGCATCTTCAGAGGACAGGAAGAACCACCTTCAGAACACGGCCAAGAAGCCCGAAAAACCCACAACAGCCAAATAATAGTTGCTTTATCACCAGAAGACAGAGAGAAACACAGAACCAATCTTTGAAAGCATACTTGATAGAAAGCAATGATTAAGAGAACTGGTAAGCATACAGTAGAATAAGCTATGCTGAGATAAAATCAGTATGGCTCCAGCAGTGGAATTTTTGAGTCATCAATATAGCTTTTTTTAACGTCAACAACCAGGCAAACGAGAGTGACCCAATAGGCATTATACACTAGGAATTTCAAAAACACTGAAGACTTCACTCAAAAAGGTGATGAAAATATGGTGAGCATATAATAATGTATCAAGAGGATGGCTACTAATTGAAAAACAGAAAGCTGAAGGCAGAAATAAATGAGTTTAACCACTAGGAGAAATGAAACACTAAATCTATAGTGGTTTTGGACAATTTAATACAGACACAGCTTGTATGTCACTGGAGTTGCCAAAATTTGTGTGCAATAACAATTTACTATAATGTGTTGAAATAGAGTGTCAAAAGTTTCAAAAACAAAGATTGGAGCAAATGAGATTTACTGTAAGTGCACTTATAGATTTACTGTAAGTACTCTGGGCAAAATCAACAGCACATTCACAAATACGCTAGGAGCTGTGTGTTGGTAAACAAAAAAACTATTTGAAGTTGTGATGAATAACACTCATGAATACTAAGTATTGCTCTGATTGCCCTATCTCAAGCGAGTATTAACAGAGCTGCAGGGATCAAATTAACAGTGTAATCTTATACATAATAAAATAATAATTACATGTCATCAAGTCAAGTATGATTTAACGCAACCCTTTCCAGGGTTTTCAGGTACAGAGTACTCAAAACTGATTTACTATAGCCTTCTTCTGGGGACACTCTGGGACTGTGTAGCTTGCCCAAGACTACAAAGGCTGGCTTGTCTCCTAAAAGACACACAGAGGAATCAAACTCTCAACACAACTAACTCATTGAGCCATCCAGCCAGCTGATTTTATACATGCCTATTTAAAAAAATATATTTAAAAAAATCCCAGTGACTTCAGTGGAACTTAATCCTAGGCAAGTGTGTATAAAATGGCAGCAAAAAAAATCAAGAGATTACAAAGAAGAATTCAGTAAATGATAAAGTATAGCCAAAAAAAAAAAAAATCAAGAGACTACAAAGAAGAAGAATTCAGTAAATGATAATTTATAAGGAGTGGGTAGATATGGAAAGATTTCCTTTCTAATCTCACTTACCTTTTCACCAGCTGTACTTCTCCATACAACAGATGTACTTCTCCATACAACTGATACATTTATTTATGCAATTCACTATCAGAAGTTGCAATGTTATCCATCAGTCTAGACCAGGCTTGTCCAACCTGCGGCCCGAGGGTCGCATGCGGCCCAGGTCAGCTCATAACGTGGCCCAGTGCAATTTTTTTATTTTAAAAGAAATTCCAAAATTTCAAGTTAAACTGCCGGCACTTGCGGCCGGAATGTGGCCGGGGCATGCCACAACAGGAGAGGGGGAGAGAGGGAAGGAAGGAAGGAGGGGGAGGGGAGGGGAGAGGGGGGCTGCGTGACTGCATTGCGCTGTCCTCGTCAATAAGCGGACCCCCTCCCGGCCCATAAAGCCGCTGGAGTCGAAGCTGGCAGCCTCTGCTATCGCAGCTGCCGGTATGTGCGCTTGGAGCGGGGCTGCGGAGGACGGCTAGGGCTGCCCCCCCATGCAGCCCAAACCAAATTTATGTATGGCCCAAACCAAATTTTCATCTTCTAATGTGGTCCAGGGAAGGTGAAAGGTTGGACACCCCTGGTCTAGACCGCTCTCAGTAAGGATAAAAACCCAGGACTAGATATCAGACAGAACAAGACTGTTCCCTCAGGCAGGAAATTTCTCCATCCTCTGGAACTTGCCCATATGGCAATAATATATGGTTGCTGCTAGAGTAGGCCACCTTGCCTAAGGACTCTTCAACACAAACAACGCAATTCAGTCATGTCCCTAACAAAGTGGGCACACAAAACAGCAGCACGACCAGACAATGCACACCAGTGGGCATCACACATGCCATCTGTTGCTCTGCTCAGATAACACAGGTTGACACCAGTGCTGCAGCTGCACAGGAACACTTGTCTTGAGTGGGTGCCAGTGACCAGGTGCAAAGTGGAACAGGGTGTGCACATGTGTGTATGTGGGGGGGAGGTGATGCTGGAGGACAAGAGCTGCATGTTCTCCGTGCTCTGGCATGGGCCCCTAATTCCTGCTGCCCTGAAATGCGGCGATGGCAGCCACCGTCCAATCTATGGTTTTCTACTGCCAGTCTAGTCTGCTTCTCTGTGAACAGCAGGCAGGGGATAATGAGGATCCTGTATTTTACCTCATGCAGCACTACTTAGTAGAAAGCAGGAAAATGTCTCTTGGGACAAATGGCCTTACTCCATCCCCTGTACAGACAGTGGCCAAAGTCCTGTTACATAGCATAGGAACTCTCACAAAAGTAGGTGCATAGAATCAATGGGATTTACTGTGTCAAATCCTCTGCAAGTTTCATTGATGCATATGGGGCTAATCTAGCTGCTATTTGTTATGTGTTGTCAAGTTGAAACTAATTTACAGCAACCCTAATAAGGTTTTCAGGCTAAGTGAGATATTTAAGGAGTGGTTTTACTAATTCCACACCCCCAGTGAGAATCCCTAGCCAAGGGCGGATTCATACCTTGGTTTCCAGAGTCCTAGTTGATCACTCTATCCACTACTACACCACACTGGGTACCTATTTATGCTATTTAGTTTAGCATAAAACTGGCTTTGGTGAAGTTAGAATACCACACCATTTGAATCAACGGAGTTTACAGACAACATGGCTCACCAAATCTCCCTTGATCCAATGGGCCTACTCCAGTTGTGACTTACTAAGCTAAATAACAGGATTCCTGTCAACACACTGCTGCAGATGGCAAGGAACAACTAGGGCTGATAATCATCCCGTTGGGGCCTGTGAGTTTTCAGAGTCGCAGAGTGGTGAAGAAACGTTAAAACTAAAAGCAGAATTGTGACCGAATCCAGCAAGGCAATGTTTAAGTGAGGGTTCTATTGCCTCACTATGGGGGCGGGACTCAAAGTAATTTGTCCCCGGAATATTTAGCTTTAATTTGGAAGATAATGGATCAGGCTGGCTCCTCCTCAGACTTCCACGCTGCTGCGTGAGTCCTGTGGTCTGACGGACGGAAAAACTGCCGGGGCTGCCACTGGCGGGGGTTTTCGCAAGCAGCAAAATGACCGCGAGGAGGTTGGAGGGTGTGTGTGGAAACGGCGGGCGTGAAGACAACACCACGGAACAAAACTCTAAAAGCCCCCCCCTTTTTTCTTCTTCTTTTTTTCTTTTTGGCTTTCTAGTGCCACTCAAGTGGCCGAGAAGCGGCCATTGACAAGGAAGCTGAAGAAGGAGCTTGCAAAAAAAGGGGGGGGGGTGACAAGAGGCACCTCACAATCCTGAAAGGCAAGGGGGGGATTGTTGTGTGCATGCATGGGCACGCACGCGCGCGCTCATGGGTAGAAAAAGGATAAGTTTTAAATGTGACTTGAGTTGGTTAGTTAAAGCGACAGCATTTTCCATCCCAAAGACTCAAGGAAAAGTTCAGTTCTTTCTCCCTCAAAAACCCCACCGGCCCAGCTTCCCTTTTGCCTCCCGCACCCCGCCAGAGCGGCGCGTCAACACGTCTCCCCTGTTTTGTCTTTCCCGCACGAAGCTCCCCTCAGCAGCGC